GGGGGGGGGTAAGTGTTGCCGAGAGAGGACACGCTGGTAGCAAGTGGGCTTCGTATCCCGCAGAACTGTACGTTTTCTTCAGGACACAACAGGTTTCCTGCGATCGAAAGCTACCCCCAACACAAGGCGGTACAAACATGAACGATGACGAGGACAAGTTCTCCCCACTAGCTCCTTTTCACAAAACAAACATGCCGAAGATAAAAAGAGCAGCATGCTAGGGCACAAGGGTGTCTTGAGTAACTTCGATCGATACCGCGCCAGAGCTGAGACACCTGCATTTCTCATAAAACTCAAGCAGGATAGGGAGAAGCACTCGAGGAGTAAAAACAACGCAAATTGCAAGACTGTGGCAAGTCACAACCGGTTCGGCGGTTGTAGATACCGATCCTCCGAACGACTGACTCTCAACACAAGTGTCTCAGCAGGGACAGGAGCAGCAACCAAGCAGGGTTGACACCGCAAAATGCAAGACACAGAGTTTGTCACAACCGTTTCGGCGATTGCAGACGCCGATCCTTCAAACGACAGACTCGACTCGCCTTCTTGTGGCTCTCCAAGTGTGCCTGCCAGCGCCTGTCGTGCTCCAGCTTGTCGGCAGCGACCTAACGACAAATCCACAAGCACATGAGGGTTTGGGGGCAACGGATACGATTCAGGGTATCGAGGTGATTGGTTCATCTTAATGGCCGTCACCTTCTGAAACACACACCAGATCGTTTTTTTTTGGAGGGGGGGCAATGGTTCGGCTGTGGGATACGAGGCGACTCCAGGGGATCATACGTACATGAAGACACAGCCCTGACATCGCACCGGCAATAACCTCTCTCGCACGCACGAGCAGCGCAAACCGGGCGTTTCAATGGTTCGACATGCAAGATCTCCGACATCTCCGACACCGAGAAACATCTCAGGTAGACAACACGTCTGCATGTCTCTCTCATGCGTCACGAGCAAGTCAGCCGGGCGTTTCAGTCGCTCGACAACGACAAGCAAGGGAGATGTCCGAAATCTCCGAAATCTCCGCACCTGCGCCTCATACTTCTTGCGGAGCATCGGCAGCTCCTCGATACGGAGGGCCCTCGTGATGTAGTCGAGGCGCTTGGCCTGAGACTTGAGGCGAGCGTCCTCGTCCTCCTTCTCCTTCACCACAGAGTCCTTCGTCTTCCGGATAAGCTCCTGCGTAAGGGATAGCGTTAGGATTACAGCGGTGGGGATAGGGTTGGGTTGTTAGCGGTACATGCCGAAAAATGAGGAACAGAGAACGCATGAGACAAGAAAGCTCTTGGGATAGAGTTAGGGTGACAGGGCTAGGGTTGGATAATGGAGGTCGGGTCAGCGCTTCACGAAAACGATGATGCCAACACCGCTCAACAACAAATGATTGCCAAAAAAAATTACATTTTATTGCATTCGAATTAACGATAGAACCCGCACCTCTCTGCCAGACTTGTCGAGCTTCTCGACGTTGTCCGCCTTCTTGCCGAGCCTTGCCAGCATCTCTTTCGTCTGCTGCAGCTCCAGCTCGCGCTCGATCTGATTTTGCGGACATTTAACAGAAACAAAAAAAGGGGTGTCAGTGGGTCGAAAGGCAATGGGCTGCGGTTTTGTTGCGACATGACGCCGGGTATACCTATAATTATTACGTGAAAATCCAGATACACACTTGGGCAGAAAACATGCAACACGACTGTAGGCTAGGCTAGGCTATTAGGCTAAAATCACATTTCGGCAAATTCCACAACCCAAAACGCTAAGTTCGCCTTGAAAAAACACGCAAGCACATCCACCCAAAGGATGAAGGGTGCGACAGGATGAAAAGCATCGACGGTTGCATATCGTCACCTCAACATTAGCGCCTGTATAGCGCCTGTGTGAGTATGAAATGGCAAGTTGTGCGTGTGAGAAGGGACTACTCCAAGCATGACGAGCTGAAGGGGGGGGTAGACTAAGTCGATCCCTCGTCTTTCAGTCATGGGCTGATGACCTGTATGATGTTTTTTATTTTCGAATCACATCACGTCACATCCGCAGGAGGGGGTCCAACCCCCCCCTCCTATGTGACCCCGGTTGGGTCCTCTAGCTGGTAGAAGTGGAAGATAGGGGCCAGAGGAACAGACGACAGAATCCAATGATGGGAGAAAAAAAAAAAAAACATCTGCACGGATGTACATACAACTAAAGCTGAAATAAGATAAGAGGGCAGCATGGATTATTCATACCCGTTGGATCTTCTCCTTCTCGCGAAGCTTGGCCTCACGGGCCAGGCGAGCAGCCTCCTCCGCCTTCCGCTTCAAGTCCTCTTCTTGGCGGACCCTGTCATAGCCATCATAGCCGTCATAGCCATCAAATAGTCGTCGTTGCTGTCGTAAGTTTTTGGTCTTGTCATTGGCAAATAATCAGTGTTTTATTGTTGCTCGTTGATGCTCGTGGCTGATGGTTGATGTGGTTATTGTTGCTTCGTGTTTGTTACATTGGTTGCACAGACGCAAGCCATTGCACTGATGCATGCCAATGAAAAGTCGAGACCGATCCTCCTCCTTCTTGCCGGACTTACCCACCCCGTCGTCTGTCACCAACCACGTTCCCAGTTCAAAAACAACAAGGCTTACACGCGGCTAGAGCAAGCGTAGAACACCATCGGCATGGATGTTAGCCATCAAAGAAGGGCATTTGTCCTTGATATGATACAACCAGACCAAGGAAAAAAAAATACCCGCACCACGCCATGCGCATACCATCAATGATCGGCGACCCAGACCTTGTAGAAAAACGAACAAACTGGTCACTTGGCCTCTTCCGTGGTCAAGAACTGGAGACCAGACCTAGAGCAACAAAAAAACACGTCCTGTGCACATAATCAGTGACTGTCAACCTTGTAAAAAAAAAAAGAATAGAAAAAAGGAAATCACCTGGCCCCTTCCCTGGTCTTGTCCAATGCATACGACGCCATCAACAACTGGCAACCCGACTTCAATCAATGACTGGAGACCCAGACCTTGAAGTAACAAACAAGAAAACGAACAGAAAAAGAAATCACCTGGCTTCTTCCCTGGTCTTGTCCTGCTCGCGACGCTCGGCCTCCTCCTTGCGCTTCTCGATAATGTTCTTGCGATTCAACGCGTCGCTGTGCTCCCGGGGCATGTCGCTCACCTGCCATACCATACCGTATAATGGCCCGAATTCCATGGGGAACAGGGGAGTACCGTGTGAGAGGTGCGGCGCCGGAACGGGAGATTCCGCGAAAAACCGACTCTGATCCGACACACCACGTGGCTGAAAAACCCTTCGACCCGACTCGAACCACATCAAACAAAACTCCTTTCATCTCCGGAAGTCTACATGTAGCTCTCGCCGCACTCGCATCAACTCGCACTACCACTATTTGATCTCCCTTTCCCCGCACAAGCTCACCACACCCTTACAACACCAAACTCCGATTACTTCCGTAACGAGACGTTGACTCACCACGTGGCTGACGAAACCTTCGACCCGACTCGAACCAAATCAAACAAAACTCCTTCATCTCCGCAAGTCTAGCTCTCACCACACTCAAATCAACTCGCACCGACTCCAAACTCTTTTGTTGTCTTCGTAAGCCTAACTCCCACTACACGCCAATCGCAACAACGAAAGACCCCCTTTCTCTCCTTAACCCTGACCGGACTTTGTGACTTACCACTTGACTGAAGAAGCCGGCCCTCTGCTGCTGGGTGGTCTGCTCCGCGGGCTTGACAAGGTTGACAGCCTTCTGCAGCTGGGTCGCCAGCGTGCTGAGCTGGGTGCGCATGGAGTCGCTCTCCATCACCTCTCCGCCGAACCTTAAGCAGCCAGCCTTCTCTCGCCATGGTCGATGACGGTATTGATCGAATCGTAGGGCACCAATGGACAGAAACAGGGACGGAATGGGGCGCGGCTAGGAAACGACAGTGCTGCGGTTAGACATAGGCTTCGGGTAGACATGAACACAAGCCTACGGGAACCTTTTTGAAAGTTTGGTATCAAGAATGGTGACCGGGAGAAAGAAAAGTGATAAAAAGGTTGACGGCAATCTTGGTGAATCTTAATCTTTAGTCCGAACATAGGTGCACTGGCGAGACGCGAGGGTGGTTGACAAATTTCCCATCAACAGTCGTTGTGAACGTTTGGTCTCAAAAAAGACGTCTGAATGTTTGGTCTAAACAAAGGTTCGCTACACTATACTTCTTGGGCTAAGGGGAGAAAGGAGGTGAGGGTGGTTCACGCGAACCTTACTACTTCTCACCAGTCGTTGTGAGCCTTTGGTCTCAACAAAGGTGTGTGCATGTTTGGATATTGACGACAGAGGTAGGTACAAGGGGAGAGAAAGTGTGAAGGAGGGCGGAACCCGTCTACCCTAGTTCCCAAGTCTTGTCGCCCTTGGTCTGGACGACAAGATCCAGGACTGCAGGACCCTGTCAGAACTTCAGAGAAGAATACAAAAGGCTAAAAACATGAACAGAATAGCCACAACGCACGCACCATGTCGCATTTTTCGGCACTCTGTTGACCACGTCAAACAGCTGGTCCCAAAACAAACTTCACAGCAGTACGCGGGAAAGGCCAAAAGGATAAGCGTTAATCTCACCTTGTTCTGACGGGAAAGGGCACAAAGGATAAATCTTAATCTGACCATGTGGACACGGGAAAGGGCACAAGGATAAATCTGATCGTGAATCTTGTGGAATCTTATCGCACCTTGTGGTCGACTGTGACCTTGACCTGCCTCTGCTTCACCGCCCGCACGATGAGCTTCTCCACCTCTTGGAACGAAAGACGGACTCCTGTCAAGTACGTCTGCACACAACAAAAACATGCACACAGAGAGGGAGAGAGAGGGAGAGAGAAGGTAGAGGGGGAAACCTAAGTGCTCTAACATCTTAAGAGCACTCGCGACGTCGTTGCCAAGCGACGAAAACCCAATCCCGATGGCAATCACCGGGGGAGGCGGCGGCTTGTTTTACAACGTCGTTGCCAAGCGACGAAAACCCAACCCCGATCACACACTTGCAGCCTCTGCCTTGCTCGACAAAACAAAGCAAGATGTTCATGCTTACGAAGATCGTCAACACATCACCAACGCACAAACCTGCAGCCCTCTCTCACGGGTCAGCGCCATGCAAAACAAAACAATTAGATGCATCGCGTGTACCTACCACACCACGGAAGGTCTGCGTCAGCTGGACCAGAGTGCTAGAAGGTGCTCCTCAGCAGAATCCTAACGGTTCTTCATGTCAAGACGACAACCATACGTAACCACCAACAACAACCTAACACGCACAAACCTGCAGCCTCTCAAGGGTAACGGTGTGGTAGACGGAAGACAGCTGGGCCAGCAGCCGGAGCACGACGATGCGCTCAAGGGACGGCACGTAGCTGCACACAACCCGACAGAGTAACCGTCGAAAATCAAGGAAAATCGTCCAAGAAACAAAGCAAAGTGGGCGTTCACGTTAACCGTCCAAATTCAAAGAAATTCCTTCCGACACACCAATACAGACGAAAACTATATCTATAATAGTGGCAAGTGTACTTTATTGCCGTCGAAATTCAAGCTAAAATTGTCCAGGAAACAAAGCGAAGGGGGCGTTAATACGGACGAAAACTGGTGGCAAGTGTACTTTGTTGCCGTCCAATTTTGAGCAAAAATTGTCCAAGAAACAGAGCCAAGTAGGCGTTAACACGGATGAAAGATAGGGGCAAGCGTACTATTTCAAGGGACAACCTTCGAAAAACAAAAAACGAGCAAGGTGTCGGACATAAGGCGGAGGTGGTAGAGATGACAGGGAGTGGCACGTGTGCTGACGGGATGTGTGGGGTGCGTCGACAACCACTTCGAGATGCTGTTTTCCGGACAAGCATGGCTGCCGCAACATAAAACCATCCATCTTTGCGGGTCCAATTGTAGACATGCACGCATGCAGAGTCTTTCATGGTGCTCGAAACGAGGAAAAACAGCAAATGTCGACACCAGTGACAGCAAACATGAACAAAAAAAAACCCAGCCACTACGAAACGCAGGAGGAGCAAACACACAAATGAAATACACAATGAATGGCAGAATGAAACCAACCATCCGCTGATTTTCGTTTCACATTTACTATTCGTTTGGTGTCTGCTGTGTTTCTTTCTCTTGTTGGCTTTCGTATTTGCTGTTTTCTTTTCAACGATGGAAAGAAAAAATGCAAATACGGAACGAACAGAAGCAAAGATGAACGAAACACAACAAACGCTAAAGGTATCAAATTCTGCTTGATCTCTTTCAAGACGGTGTAGAGAGCTCAGACGAGATGAGGATTGGCCAACAATTCCTTCATGCATGCCCGAACTCTTGTTGCATCCTTGCGAAGACGGTTTTGTCGAGAAGAAAGCGGTGAAGCAAGTAAGAGTCGGAGGGGACAAGCAAACCCTCAGGTCTTGTTGCATCGTTACGAAGACGGTTCTGTCGAGAAGAAAGAGGCAAGCAGGGGGAGTTGGAGGGTAAAGCTATTATAACTAACCTGGCGACATCACCACCCGCCTTGGTGAGGGTCTCGATGTGCGGCATGGCATCCTTCACAATGTTCATAGGCCGGAAGTTGGTCTCGATGATGTTGTACAGCGCCAGGACGTCGGGGGACACCTGCCACCGCCCGGAGGGAACAAACGACCATCACATGATGAGTCTGCGGTGCATGCGATGGGGCTGTGAACGTAATCCAGTAGCAGCAGCGCACGGTCACAAAAACGCCAGTGTCCGCTTCAAGCAGGACTGTGAACGCCATCCAACCACAGCAGCTTGATTCAGCATGTTGTTCTAAAGGGGTTCGCGTCATGGGATGGTGTATCTACCTGAGCCAGGATTCCCTTCTTGACGAGCTCGTCCATCAGGGCCTCACGGGAAGGGTCGGTGCTGAATCCGAGGAGCGTGGCCATGCGCTGATTCTTCTGCTTGGACAGGTCGTCTTCGTCGAACAGCTGGTTCGCCGACTCCGACCTGAAAACGTCACAATGCAAACGACATACAGTGTTGGACTCGATACGCCGGACAGCACCATCCATCGCTGCCGTCACCAAGCACCTCCTCGATCAACATGTTGCATCGTCTTTGGTGTTAGGGATACGGTACCGTTACCGACCCACCATTCACAGCACCGTAGCATATTTGCTGCCGCCACCAAGAACCTCCTCGATAGCCACGTTGCATCATACTTCAAATCGCGGTACGGTACCCCTACCAATACACACACAGAGATAACACATGACGCCCATTTTCCCAATGCCGCCGTCAAGATAAACAAGCACAAAGAGAAACGAGCACATAATAGCGTCGTGAAGACGTGGTTTATACCACTTTTTCCCACCACCTCCGCCAATAGAAAAAAAGAACAAGTACTAGAGTACTAGAATAGGTTGACCAGCAACACACCCACGAGAATCATCGGAGACTGGTGAAACAGGGACACTGCTATTTTTTTGCTTCACGTAATACTGTTGCTCCTTTCCTCTTTTGGTTTCGGGGAGGACGTGCTGATGTTAAGCGCCTAACCTGATCTTGATTTAATAATTGCCCTTTCCATGTTTTGGTTTTGGGGAAGGCATTCTCACGTAAAAGCGCATCCGTACATCACCCAATGGCCAAAAATTTTACCCTACTCTCAACCAAAACCGTACGGACCTGATCTGCGGGATGGAGATAGCAGCGAGAAGCACGCAGTTCGCCTGTGTGACCTTAGCCTCCGAAGTAAGCGTCTTGTTGTACTCGCTTCCGAGAGAGAAGAACTTGTACCTGAACCCAGCAGCCAACAAGCGAGAAGCAACACCACACAAGCAAGAAGAGCGTCATGTGTGAAGCGGCAAAATAAAAAAATCAACAATGACAAAACAATGAAAAACATTCAAAAACAAAAGTGAGCATCTTTTTCCTTCTCGCTTCCGAGAGAGAAGGACTTGCATCGGAACCCAGCAGCCAACAAGCGAGAATCAACACCGCACAAGCAAGAAAAAAGTGAGCTACGTAAGTGAAAATGCAAATTAAGAGAGCAACAGCAACAGAACAATACAAAACATGTCAATTAAAAGTACGCGCCTTTTTCTCGTCGCTGCCAAGAGAGAAGGGACTTGTCACTTGTACCTCAACCCGCAGGCATCACAACAACGCAAAACACAGAGTGAGCGTCTTGTAGGAAAGTCGAGAGAGCGAAACGACACAAACAAAAAAGGTGATCGTCATGCCCTCGCTGTCCAAGAGAAAAAAATAATGGAGAACAACAGACACAAAAAATGGGCGCCTTGTTGTAGTCTTTGAAACCGAGAGAAAAAAGCTTAATACAGGACACATGACAAACAAACAACGTTACGGCGGTGCTTGTGCAATTCGCGATGTAAACCAATAGAGAAGGAACTTGTATAATGTGTACCTTGAAGCTACGAACAGATGAGCAAGACTCGCAAGAATGTTCGAGGGAAGGTTAGTTGTACCAACAATCCAGCAACCGAACTAAACAAACAAGACATGGTATCTGCCAGCCCTTTACGGCGCTCAGCAGGCGTAGCAAGCGAATCAAGAAAAACTAGACAGAAATAACAAACTGCTACTGTTTGTGCCCGCGTTTAAGAACGTCAAGTTGGGGTCAAGGCTCAATTTATTATTTCGCCGCCGCTGTCGAGCATGGGTGAAATATTTATTATAGATTCTAGTGCAGGATCCACAGCTGAGGTTTACTTCTTCGTTTTTATCATTCGTCAATATTATCCTTTGTTTCTTGAACGCGGGCACCAACTGCAGCAGACCTTGACACTCACCAGGCGTAGGCGTGGAAGAGGAAGTTCTCGCTGACCCAGAAAATGCGGGTGAGCTTCTCGTAGTAGCTGGCCATGAGGCGGGCCTTGGGAGTCTTCTTCCCGATCTACTTGGAAAAAAAAAAAAGACCACAGAGGAAATACATTAGCGGGACAACAATTGACCAACCAATCAAACGCAAGGCCAGGCACAAATAGCACCCGTTGTCGAGATGCATCGCCAAATACTCCACCCAACAAGCGGTAAAAATGGCACCTACAAAAGCTTGCAACATCGTATGCACACGCGAGAACAATCTGGACATGCAAACGGGTGCGCTGGCGCACAGATCCACCTGCATGATGTTGTAGATGTCCTCCACCGTGCGGAAGCCCTCAGTCCAAAGCTCTAGTCCCGCCGCCACCTCTAGCTGGGCGAAGCGGGTCTGCAAGTGCAGCTCAATGCCGTCGCTAGTCCAGCCCTCCCACCCCCGAAGCCTGTTCGTCGTCTGTGTCGCCAGCAACAGCCACGAGGGGACACCCATTATCGCAGGTAGAGGAGGGGAAGGGGGGGGTCCATCAACATTAGGGGCAACCTACAATCATAGTACCCGAAGTCGGTTTGTCGTCTGCGTCACCAACAACATGCACGAGGGGGTCACGCAGTGTCGCAGGTAGAGGATGGGAGGGGGGGAGTCCATCAAGAACAGGGGCAACAACATGCAGTCACGACGCCCGAAGTGTCGTCTGTCGCCCAGTCAAAGCGTGGCCACAGACAGACAAGCAAATCAGACACAGGTTGTACGCCCTGGTAGTCTTACAGTTTGCCGCACTTGAGCACTTAGCAGTTAAGACGTTGAGACTCGCAAAAAATCAGAAGCTAAGAACTTGAGCACCATTTGTGAGCTCGGTCAAGAAACCCCACACTAAAACCTATGTAGCGGCCATTTGTAGCCCACAAGAGGATGATCAGCAAAATAAGGACCCCAGCCTCGGCTGAAACTGGAGGTTCTTAAGTGCGGGCGCCATCTGTACCATGATAGGGTTTACTCAGAACTCAATGCGCATGCTTCCCCAGGTAGCCAGCTGATTGGCCAATACGCCATCGTACCCACTTTCGGAGAAACCTCCATCGCGCATCTACAACTCCCGCCGGCATGTCGACCCTCCACTAGATACAACCGATGCTGGTCACTGGTGTTCCCGGAGTGGGTCGATACTGTACCCAGAAATGGACAAGTTGTCCCGGTGCGCGACGACTGCACAACCCGCAGAAAAACCGTATACCGCACATACCCCGCGCGACACAACACCGCACAAAACCCACACAACCGGCCCACCACGCTCGTTGACGGGCACCGTTTCGAGAGGATATCAATCTCCGAGATAATCGTCCGTAGAACGCGGCGAAACCACACCGTCCGGTCCTTGCCCCGGAGGGAAGCCCCCAACTACACACCACAGACACATTTTTGGTTCGCTTATTTTGATCGGTTTCCGAGGGCTCTTCTCTCGAACGGTCGGTGCGATACCTGTTCTTTTCTTTCTGACATTTTGTTTTCTTTTTCCGAGTGGTTTGTACCCTATTTTTGTTTTGTTTCCCCGAGGCGTCGCATGTGCCGGGTTTGGAGACCACGGGCTCCCCATTTTTTGTGGACTAGACCATATAGCTAATGTGAGAAACAACATCAACAACAACACGATACAAGCCATGGCGAGCCAACTGACAGAAGGGAAACACCAGACGAGACTCGAATCACTGGGAGCAACATGTGGACGCAATGGTCAGAGTCCATGTACGTACGTAGTTCACGAACTCTGAACATTGCGGCCACGTCTAGCTTCAAGTGATTCGAGTACTGTCGAGTGTTTCCCTACTGGCAGTTGGCTCGCCATGACAGTACCGTGTGTGTGTGATGTGTGCAGCTGAGAGCTTCCCTCCGGGGCAACAACAAGGCGGATTGGTTTCGCCGCGTTCTACGTATACCGACGAAGACGTCGGAGATTGGCATCCTCGGGAGGCGGTGCCCATCAACCAACGTTGGTCGTTTGCTTGTGTCGCCCTTGTGCGGTATGTGCGGTATGTACACGTTTTATCTGCGGGTTTTAGAGTCGTCCGGCGCGAGGATTATATGACCATTTCTGGGTACAAAATCGACCACAACGGTAACGAGCATCGGTTGTATGTACTGGAGGGTCGAGATGTCAGCGGGAGTTGTAGATACCCGATGGATGTTTCTACGAAAACCGGTACGATGGCGTATTGGCCAATCAGCTGGCTACCTGGGGGTGCATGCGTGTTGTGTTTGAAGTGCACCCTGAAATGGTGATGGACCACCCGGGTAACCCGTTTCTAGTTAGTTCTCTTGAAAATAACCAAGTGGAGCTACGCAGTATCGAGAGTAGAGATTGGGGGTGTACATCCCGACGAGCAGCGGCAGCGAATCAGGTACCCCGCCAATCCAAATCCAAGATGATTGACGAAAGGGTTGGTTAAGGCACACTTCAGGAATGGCAGGTGGAAGAAACGCCAAAGGCAAACCCAGCAGCAAAGAGTATATAGCAAGACAAGATAACAAGGGAGAGCGGGAGCAGTGGAAGGCAAGGTAGGTCGTGGAAAGTTACGAACGAGTACAATATCATGTAGATAGATTAGATAGATTACCTGGGCCGCGGAGTGCTTCTGCAGGTTAGAGATGTGCTGCCGGAGGGTGTCACACAGACGTCGCAGCTCAGTCGTCCTCTCATAGGTCCTGGAAAAATAAAAAAATACCACCCGAGACGCGAACACGCGAACAGGTCAATTGTTTGATGACGTCATAACCCCGCCATCGCCATGGCAGACAAACGAGCAAAAACGACCGCTTTAAAGCCCCATGAAACGGCCACTATACGACCTGAAGCTGAATAACCCCATCAGGAGCGCTGCACGTGTAATCCAAAACACACATAAACCGCCCAAAAATAACCCGTCAGCACCACAGCAACCCCCCGCTAGAGATCACTCCCGCAAGATGCATATATCCAACGTTAAAGTATAACACACACCACACTACTGCACGTACAAACACAACAGCCAACGCCAACCCCCCCCCCCCCCC